TGGATGTGGAGGAAGACCATCAGGTCGTCGCCCTCCAGGCGGAAGTCGGCGCGGCGGAGCAGCTCGGCGGCGCGGAAGCGGCGGCGCGGGACGAAGCGGGCCGGGGAGGCGTCCTCGGGCCCGTAGGGGTCTCCTCTAGCGGCCTCCTCCTCCGCAGGGCTTTCTCCTCCGCCGCCTCCCCCTCTTCCGCCTCCTCCGCGGCGGCGCCGGCACTGCCCGCCCCCCGGGCACAGGTACTGCAGCACCAGCCCCGCGAAGAGCAGCAGCAGCGCCGCCAGCGCCGCCACCCGCTGCCCGCGCTCCTCCATCGGCCCCCCAGAGCATCCTCCCCTCAGCCCGGAGGGGCGCAACACGCCACGCACGACGAGGACAGCGCCGCCGCCGCCGCCGCCATGGAAGACCCTTCCTCTCCGACTCACACACTCCCTCCCTCAGCCCCAAGCCACGCCCCTTGTGGTCCTCGCCGCCTTTTAAAGGAACAGCGCTCCGCCCCCTCAACGCTAAGCCCCGCCCCTTTGGCCCAAAGAGGGAGGGGCTGAGGAGTTCTCCGCCTTTTAAAGGCACAACTCTCCTCCCGCCTACCTCCTCCTCTTCTTCTTCCCTCAACGCCAAGCCCCGCCCCTTTTGGCCCAAAGAGGGAGGGGCTGAGGAGTTCTGAGGGCGTGGCCGAAGAGTTCTCCGCCTTTTAAAGGAACAGCTCTCCTCCTGATAGGGAGTGGGAGGACGAGGAGGCACAGCTCTCCTCCCGCCCCCTCCTCCTCCTCGCTTACCCCAACGCTAAGCTCCGCCCCTTTTGGCCCAAAGGAGGAGGGGATGAAGAGTTCTCCGCCTTTTAAAGGTACAGTGCTCCGCCCCCTTCTCCTCCCGCCCCCCTCCTCCTTCTCGCTTGCCACAACACCAAGCCCCGCTCCTTTTGGCCCAAAGAGGGAGGGACTGAGGAGTTCTCCGCCTTTTAAAGGCACAATGCTACGCCCTCCTCCTCCTTGTTTCTCCCAAGCCCCGCCCACAGCCATGCCCCCTCCTCGTTCTCCCTCCTTCCCCGATGCCAACCCCTTTGGGGGTCCAAGGAGGGCGTGACCGAGGAGTTCTCCGCCTTTTAAAGGCACAGCGCTCCTCCTGATAGGGAGTGGGAGGCCGAGGAGGCAGAAGGAT